GGCTTTCATAAAAATTCTCGTAGAATCGAGAATGAAGTTTTCATTCTGTACATGCCAGATCATGAATTAGTAACTGCATCTAAATAAAACCATGCAACAAGCTTAAATACATCAATTCAGGTTCTTGGTAGTCCTTATTAAGTCACAGTAGTACACTAAGAGCCTGTTTGGGAATGATTTTGAGAATTGATTTTTTGATCGTTAGGAGAAAAGTTGGGTCCATCTGTGAGTGAAGAAGTCAAATATGACGGCTAAAATAGTGAAATAACGGTTAAAAAATTAATTTTTTGAGAAGAAAAATCGCTCCCAAACAGGCCCTAAGAGTCTGTTTGGGAGTGATTTTGAGAATTTTTTTTGACCGTTAAAAGAAAAGTGAGGTTCACCTATGAGAGAATAAGTCAAATATAGCGATTGAAAATAGTGAAATAACGGTCAAAAAATTAATTTTTTGGAAGAAAAAATCACTTTCAAACAGGCTCTAATAGTATTTATATCACAGAGGCTAATTCTGTCGATATTAATTCTAGCAAAAAAAAAAAGAATTTTGTGCTTAATGCAAAATCAAATGGTTTTGGGATTTCAATAGTTTTAGAGCCCGTTTTGGAGTGTTTCTAAAAGTGTAAATTGGAAGGAGACGACCAACAAATCAAAGTAAACATTTGATATTTATGCGTTCTCCCCAAATATAGAAGAAAAGAAGAAAGTATGCTCCTAAAACTTCCAAATAAAATTAGTTACACCACATTTCAAATCATCATTTTGTAGTTGGGTTTTAAGATGGATAAAACTTTTTTGGGTAACTTTTTAGTGCTTCTTTCACAAAAATGTGAGCTTAAACAAAAATAACTCATTTTGCTATCTTCTTTTGTAGTCTTGCTAACTGAGCTGCTCACCCACTCTTACAAGAATGATCAATTTGGGAATCCCTGAAATACAAACCGTTTCAAATCTAATCCGTGTTCGATGGTGGAAGAATTGATAACTATGGTATTTTAAGTGTCAAGAGGCTTTTTACTTTGAATTTTTCTGTTATAAATTAACTTAAAGAATATAATTATCTTTTTAAGATAAATATGGCATTTTAAGTTTCAAAACAAATGAACTTGTCATGGTAAGAATATATGCTTGGATGCTTAGGACCAAAGCAATCCGGCACATCTGGGGCTCGGACCAAGCACGGTGCATGTTAGGCCAGGACAATCTAGCCTGTTTTACACATCTAACCAAGATAAGAGTACCAATCTTACTTGGAACATCTGGGGCTTGGATAGGCTGGCTGATCTAATCTGTTTTACAGAACTAACCAAGGATCAACTTGCTACAAATTTGAAAGGTAGAGTATCAATCTTACTTGGCACGTCTAGACCTCGGACCAAGCATGGCATGTGTTAATCTAGCCCGTTATACACAACTAAGTCTAACCAAGGATCAACGTGCTATAAATTTAAAAAGCAGAATGCCAATGTTACTTGGTCCGTCCTTTTATTATAATTTTGTTATAGGTGTAGGTGAATTTTTTGTGACATTTAGAGTTGCAAACTAGTAATCTAGCAATCAAGTTCTAAAAGATAAGAAGTAAAAATACAACTAGTATACTGAAAAGATGTACCTGGTCGTGGCCGAAATCAAACCAAACCTGTATGATTTCGGGTAAAATAGTGGAAGCTCTCAAAATTTCCCAAATTGAAGCTCCAATTTCCAATAGCGAATATAATGCCACAATTGAATTTGCAACAGCTACAAATCTGCGATTAGACAAACAGTTCTTCGATCAGCCACCAGATAAATCAAAATCTATACTAAACAACAAAAAGGAAGTAAAATCCAGAGCAAATTTGTAACATTTACGTGTACCTGTACGCTTCAAAATCTTGCCAGCGAGGTAAATCCGAGCCCTTGGAATTAGTCAACATGAAAATCGCGGCGGCAAGAGAGAAGCAGAAGGCGGCGAATCGGAAGACGAGAATCAGTATATTGAAACGGCGAAGCTTGTGTATAGAAACGGTGGACTGAAATCGAGTTCCCGGCAATGGTGGCGTCTCATTTCCAGTCGCCACCGCCTGAGGCCGTGGTGATCTCATTGTAAAATTACAGTATTATTCACTTGATAATTGAAACAGAATAAAAAGTGATCACCATTATTCATGATAAACAAACAAGGACAGGCGCGGCGGCAATAACCTAGAAACTTCTGAAAGATTGCTTTACTGATTATGATTCTTGAAATTGATATATTGTTGAGGTGAAAATGCGTTTGGGGCTATTAGGTCACGGGATATTGCCTTGCGTGACTTCCATTGATAGATATAGAAAGAGAAAGTGTTATACAGAGAGACAGAGAAAGAAAGGACATACGGAAATGCGGGGAAGGTGCACAAAGGAGAAAGATAGCAAAAAGGAGCTTTCGAGACACTCCTCCAGAGGCAAAGTAACTGTGAAGCCTTTCTTTTTCG